CGCTAAATGATCTCAGGCCGTAATAAGCGTTAGTGCTCCAGACAAATGACTTGGTCCTTTGACACAGGGGAAATTAATTCAACACAAACACCAACATTCACGAAAGGAAAATGAATCTTTAGGGCATTGCATGATAATCCCTGATCTGATGGTTAGTACCTGTCAAACACTGATCTGAGGGATAGTAAGTGATCTGATAGAACGAGTAGACGTTAGTATTGTTTTATCAACTTTTGTTCTTACTATAGACATAAAACTATTCCCTAAAACGTCCGTGGAAGAAAAAAAACGAAAGTGAACAAAACAGCACAATGGAGAGCTTTTTTGTAGGGGGGGGGGGTCTGATGCCTTGGCTTTGAACTGTTTCAAGTCACTGATGGGAGAGGAAATTCATTCAGGAAGAGAAGTTCACTTTTCAGCTGTCGAAAAAAATGGTTGGGAAAATCTTTGTTTCTATGTATGTCGCTTCTGGCCATTTTCTCTGCACGCTGGCTACTTGACGCCTATTGTACACATTACAACAGTTCTGAGAAACATCAAAATAATAAACGGGGAAATACAGACCAAAAAGCCTTAAATTAAACTTCAGTAATTATCATTGGTGAATTTATGAAGTAAAGAACATGATGGAATAAAGTTCTTATAAACGTAAAATAAAACACGAAATTTTTATCAACAAATCTATTAATATAAATAAGAAGGGTTCCACAAGTCCTTCATAACGGAGTGTAATGTTATGAAGTCACTGAACCTCACAAACACGCGTCATCAACAACACTGAATCGTTTACGGATATTTTGTATGGGAATTATGGTTCTGTTGGAGTTATAAATTGTAGTGCTCCCGTAAGTAGGATATAGTGGAGACGGGATGATCACTGATAGAATTAATACAAAAGTAAAAAATATACTACATAAGAAAGCCTCGGGAAGCAACACTAGTGAGGATAGTAAACGAAACAGCGACAACAGCAATAAATAAGTGGAAAAGGTAAAATAAAAAAATACAATAAAATGAGTAAATAAAAAGAAACATCGAGGGAGAATAGTAAGAGAGTAAAACTCTTTTGACATACTCATAAGGACTTCTTGGGAGGTTTCAGGACATCAAAGGCAAAAATGACAGCCTCAGCAGACTCGCTCACGGAAGATGATTAAACATGAGAGGCACGGAAGATAATCCCCGTCGACTGAGTCTCTGAGAAGCCACACTGGTTGTCTGAGAGAATGATGAAGGGAACCAAGATGAGAAACGGTCAAGAGACGTATTCAAAACTTTAAATTAAAACCACTAACAGTTGTACACTGGTGGAGGGATCAGCGGGCTGCGGCTGATTAAACTACAGTATTGTTTGACTCTAAAAAAAAGGAGAACTTTGAGTTTTAAGACTGAACCTCAATGGCGAACTCGTGACTGACACAAAGAATCTGATACCTTTACAAATCTACTCTCGAGATACCATCTCGATCTTCTTGTCCTGAATGATCTCGTGGAATTGACAGGAAGGAAAAAGACACTCGACCTTTGTCTGAACATAAGTAAAAGAATCGAGGTGGTGAGGGTTATGGGGGAAAGAGTCGGTTTCTCATCACAAAAAAAACATGGGTTACATCCACTAATTCAGAGGGAGAGTCATGTCAGTATTTATCATTCGTTTTGTCTTCGAGGAAGGAAAAAAAATTAAAGTGGGTCCCACATGTATGACTGGCAGTTAGGGAAAGTGTGGACACAGCACACTGTATACTAAAACTTCAGTACACAATGATACTGACATGCAGGGAGGCGGCAACAGTGCTGGAGGATAGAGTAATGTATTTCAACACTCCTGGATATATTTCAGTCTAGCGCCAGACCTCACGAGACACTGTTTAGTGGTTTAGGTCAGGTGAAAGATGTAGCTCATATATCACTGGCCCGAAGGACCTGACCCCGAAACATCACTCAGGACCAAGAGCGAGGTTTTCAAGAAGCTACAGTACTAGACATTGCTGCTACTCGTCGTCAGAAACATATAGACGAATAGAAAATATTAGTAAACTAACTTCGTGACTGTCGTGTGTCCTCAGAAAATCTAAAACAAACATAACAAGTATATATATATATATATATATATATATATATATATATATATATATATATATATATATATATATATATATATATATATATATATATATATGTAACCGGTCGGGATCTACTGGACTTTATTTTCTCACTTGACTTGGGGTTTATTAAAGATTAATAGATGGTAATGGCAGTGGAAGCGCCCCTTTGAGAAAAATCCCGAACCAGCACAAGAACACTTAAATCTACTAAGCAAAATGAATTGTCCGTGACCCGTGGAAGGATAGCGTCTGTGACTGGGATGAATGAGACACACTGTAAAATTTAGACACTTATATTCCCTCCAACACTACAAACACAATCAAATAATGGTACACCAATATGCGCACCTCTTAACTTGAACTTAAAACACTACTTTGGGGAATAAAAGTTATACATGATATTGAAATTATTAGAAACTCAGGCAACAATAAATTTAAAGTATTAAGAAATGTTGCTTGCACACATAAAACAGGCCTTAAGGGCTTTCAACAAAATTATATCACCCCAACAGATGCACAATTCCTAACCTAACTTAACCACTACTCTGGGGAACAAAGGTTATACCTGAGATCAGAATTATGAAGAAAAATTAGATGCATTAAAGAATCAAATCACAGTATCACTCTGGTTCCACTTAGTGACACAAACATTCAAACAACAATACTATCAAAATTATTTAAGAAATATTAAACCACACACGTCAAGATAACATCAGTAACTGAGAAATGGTATTAACTACACACAAATATAGTCACTATTATTGATTTGTTACTGGGTCCACCAATACTCGTGAACCATGCTCCACCCAACTCAACATACACCCGTAATAAGGGAGATAAAATGTTCCTCTAGGTATCCCCTAGACTCATGGTCTCAGTGTGCGACCCTGTATCACTCAGCTGGCCTCACTTTACCCCCAGTACATCCATGAAACGGAAGGGAGTGAGCAAATCAGACCTTGTACAGTTGAGAGAAGCTTTAGCTTCCCGTTAGCAAGAGGGTTTCACTAAGCTGCTCGAGACATGTGGTGTTGTGACCCGAGGTCTGATGACCCCAACGATCGTCCCGTCGTCAGCTGGGCACCCAGACGGCTAGATTCCCTCAAGAGATCCTTTGATACCCCGCTAAACCGTGACAGGCCTACACTGATCGGTCCAATGGCGACAATCGCCACCCTCAATCACCAACGGCAGTCTCAAACGGCATTCAATCTCTCGCAGTCAAACTCCGGTAAAGTGGGTTCTGACGGAAACCCTGAAATGAACTCACTGTTAGCTCTTGTTAACTTTACCACTGCCTTATCTAACCCTGTCTGAGATCGAATGAGACTTACTTGTTATACTGCAATAGTGCAACACAGGTGACTAGGCCACGTGACTATTTCTGTGACGAACGCGCAGGGACGTCTTGTTTGACTGAATGCTTCTCCGTGACTGAGGACCAGCCAGCGTCGCGTCCTCTCAAGCCGTTAGCTTAGGCCTACGTGACATATTTTCCGCCTAACTAATAACTCCTTGGGACACCCGTAACATTATTCAGACTGATAAACGATCTACAATAATTTCAAATTCAATAATAGTTCCTTAACTTCATGAATCGCATCATTATTAATTCGGCAAATTACATTTAATATCACTTAGGCCTAGTTCCACAACCTCTCCCTATGTGCAGGGAGCGCTCTCTTCCCTCCGACGACCTTGAACGCTCAGTATCGCCAATGGCAGGGCATTCGAAATTACTCTGAAATTTCTGAATATTACAATCGACCCCCCCTAAAAAAAGACAGCACAGTCCTCATGTGCTGAGAAAACATGCATACGACCCTCCTAAAAAATTGTTCTAAGAAACTGCATCTTACCCCTTTAACGTGCTAAACGCAGCATTTCTGTCTTCTCTTCTCTCCTTTTCTCTCCCGCTAACATATATATAAATATATATATATATATATATATATATATATATATATATATATATATATATATATATATATATATATATATATATATATATATATATATATATATATATATACCGAAGCAGTTAACATGAATTTGAGTAAAGGCATGTACAAGCTGGACAATTTTGTAATTAAGAAGATTTGTGATCAGGTGAGAAGGCCGGGTCACTTGACCATCTGACCTGACCACCAACCGTTGTGTGCTATTTAAAGATTAGTAGGGTCATTACCTAATACCTGACCATTGTGGACCTGGTCTCACCCTCCTCTGTATATATACACCTTGATTTGTATTACTCTCTCTAGTCTGTACTCACCCCTGAAGATGTGAATTACACGAAAGCGCTTGGGAACTTCGTGTTTTCTTCTTTCCTTGTGGTAATCAGCATATATATATATATATATATATATATATATATATATATATATATATATATATATATATATATATATATATATATATATATATATATATATATTTCATTAGCCCAATAAACACGAGGACTTCTACATAAAATCAACACCTCAACCTGGCAGGTGTTGATTGTATGTAGAAGTCCGCTTGTTTATTGGGCTAATGAAATATATATGGATCCTCGTGTTTCGAAGCCGGATTTGGTAAAACGTTACTCTGACCACCTAAGTGATACGGGTAGTCCCCATTAGAGGTTCACGGCGCCATAAGCTCGTTGAACAGGCTTTGTGTGAAATATAACAGAGTCTAGGACTGCTTTTAGTATCCTGGTGGTCCAGTGGTTAGCGTTCCCCGGTTACAGTCATGGGCTCGTGGGCCGTGGGTTCGAATCCTGGCGGGTTGAGGTGTTGATTATATATATATATATATATAGATATATATATATATAATGTGGATAAGTCATTGTGCCCCCAAACGCACGCTGTCGACTCACAGAAACATGAAGCAGTAGGTATCACTTACTCTCCTGCGTGAGTGTTTTAACTCCCCACATAGCGGCCTGCGCGAAGGTGTCGCGCGAGAGTAAGTTGAAGACATTGGCCTCAGCTTTCACTACCAGCGCTATTGCCAACACCACGGTCACCAGGCTCACTATCGTCAACATCCACACCTAAACCACGGGGAGATTCCTGTTATTTTTTGGGTTGAATAGAAAATTATATTTGTAAAATGTGATGAAAATTTTCCCTAAATACTATAATTTAATTTTTATACAATACTGCTTTCTTACATTACACAGGGATTTGAATTGCATTACTATAAAAATCCACCAACTACTCTTATAGTGAACCAGCAATATACCCACTGCATTCATTAGCGTTTTAAAACGGGGGGTAACCTTAAGAGTATATAGTGACTAACGTTATGTCTTTCCTGGCGGCTCCATAATATCAAAGAAAATAACTACATATAAGACGCAGCCTTAAACGAAAATGCTAAGTGTTGAGGATAAACGAAAGGCACTTTTTCCTGCTCCTGTTAGATCTGTATTCTTTTCGTACTATTTGAACGGATGAATGGGACGAGCATCAGCAAGAAATTTAAACAAATGAACAGCGATTCTTAGATGGAATATTACAAGGAAATAATTAATTCTTGGATTCATATGATGGAGTCATTAATTAATAGCATTTACTATAAATAAAACCCCTATGATTAGGTAAAATAGTAGTTCTTACCTGAGGTTATGTTGTGTTAGGTTTTCTTCTATTTTCTACCATAATCGCTTATTTGCACTGAAAACACTACATTTATAAATATGTATAATTTTTGTTTTTGTTTTTGCTGAATATTTTGTTAATATTTATGAACGCAGCGCCGGTCATAAAAAAAAAATACCTAATCCATTTCTTTGGATATCCCAAACACAAATCCTCCTTATTTAATTTTAACAGTTTACATTGTATTTACGTGGAAACTAGACTGCTTCATGATATTTGACACTAAAATAACAGTTCACAACAAGTGGATGAATATTTCTATTTAACTTGTCAATAACTATCCTACTATGTTGTTAATAATAGTTAATAAAAAAATCCTCTTGATACGCCGACTGCATCATTTGGGCAGCCCTTTTTGGTTGATGTTGACATTGGTCACGGGCAACATTCTCTCCCTTCTTTGCCACTGTGCATTATGGACATCGCACACTTATCCCAGTTAGATCGGTAAAGAACAGTGAAATTGTGTGATGGAGAACGCTGCGATATCGGTTTCACCGATTGTGAGAGTAAAATTGTCATAAGGAAACGTGCCTGTAGATACCAGTGTTTGTGGGATGTCTTATTATTGTTTACATTAAAGATTTGTCTTATGACATATAACAATTGTAGTGTTTTGTATATATATAGGCATAATAAACTGATTCTGATCGACGATACATGTCATGTGCTTAGAGTAATTTAATTCTTATTTACTACATTTTAGATCCTCTGTGATGTTTCTGGAAAGATGTATAATTATCAAAATAAGACCTAAGAGAATTATGAGAAAAAGAGAGATTCGGTGGCACTGAGGTAGCGTGTTTGACACTAACTACTAGTTTCTTACTGTAATAACACTGAACCTATGGAATATGGTCCTCACTGACTCTAGCAGGGATCCTACAAGTACAGTACAGCACTCGGCACCACTACCAAGCGCACGACCCGTCCGTTATCAAAAAAAAAATGCGATTTTTGTTATCTCCATTATTGGTAACAACATTTATGACATTTTGTCTTTACATCTAGCAGTCATTTAGCAAGGAAAGACACATGCAAATAATTTGGGGAATATTTAATTAATATTGTTACAAAAAATGATCCCACTAACAAAAATCAGCCAAATTTCTCTCTCTCTCTCTCTCTCTCTCTCTCTCTCTCTCTCTCTCTCTCAAAATCTATCCATTATATGCTAGTGGCTAAGAAAAATTGTGCCAGTAGATTACGCTTGAATAACCATGGACAAAGTAGATCCAGTCACACGAAAGTCTGGCCACCTCTGCAAGTCTAGAGATACTAAATTAGCCGACATTGCGAAATTATTTAACTTAAGTATAAGGTTGTAGTTATTTATCTAGTCACGTACTGTACCTTTACTTATTCTACTATTTGTCCAGCATTCGGTCTGATTGCTTGAGGCTGATTATGCTGATTACCTATCCAAACGTAATCAAACCTAACCTAAAACTTAAATAACTTATCCAACCCTAACCTGACCTAACGTTGACTCCCTTTATACAAACATTGTTCTGCAAACTCTTATGTAAAGTCATGGATCAGATCGTTCAAACTTTTTCGTAAAATATTTCACTTCCTCAAAGAATTTAAAAGCATTACCTACGAGCAATAATGTCTACATATTCATCCGCCAAACTTAAACTGACCGAATTCACTAATTAATGGCTCATAATGACGTCAACAGCTTCATGAGCCTCGTCCAATCAGAACGAATGCTAGACAAATAGTGGAATTAAGGGATGGTCAGTGACCGGACAAATAACTATCTTGTAAATATAAATAATAATCAATCATTCAAAGAGAGAGAGACTCCATATTACTCTTTACACACCTCCATAGCGAAGGGTTTGAGGAAGCCTGACATGTCGCTCTGCAGGGTGGGTCGGATCATGAGAATGGCGTTGTTCTCGCTGAAGAAGGGATGGGAGAAGTCACACACCGTCTCCCGCTGAGGCGTCACACCGAAGGGCCCCACAGCAAATTCCACGTCCTGTAGAATTCATCTCTCGAAGCATAAATTTGCATTACCTATCTAAAAGCTTTTCCCACCTGCTCTTGAAATATTTGTTAAATATTGCTCACATATTTTTGTATTATTTTATTTATTTTTGTGGTTTTATTACTAATTTTAATAGAAATTATTCTTGAGGAGATGAGGAATCTTTAATGTATTGCTTCTAAAACCCAGAAAAACTGTATTTGAAGCAACTGAAACATACAAGTATGGCTTTACACTACAATAATTCTTAATTCTGTGGTAAAATGCTTCAGTTGAAAGCCCCATGCTGTGACCCATCAATTGTATGGACATATACAGGAAGATGTAGATCATTGACTCATCTCCCACGACCCACCTTTCTCTGTAGCATCCCCAACAAGCCAGTCCAGGATCCGTCAGGCTGAGGACCTCCCCAGATGTGGTCAGAGGGCTGGACGAGCTCATAGCTGCAAACACCAGAATCACTAGTTAGTATTAAAAATAAAAAGCTTGTTATCACCTGAAGATTAACCATCCTAATACTAACATTACCTAACCTGATCTCCTGAAGTTGCATTCGCGTGATTAATGTTCAGGAGATCCAGTTATATATATATATATATATATATATATATATATATATATATATATATATATATATATATATATATATATATATATATGTAATATTCAGAAATTTCAGTGTAATTTCAAACGCCGCGCCATTGGCGATGCTGAGTTCAAGGTCGTCTGAGGGAAGACTGCTCTCCCACTCACGTAGCGAGAGGTTGTGGAACTAGGCCTATACGATATTTAATGTAATTTACCGAGTTAATAGGAACGCGAATCATGAAATTAAATATCAGTTATTAAATTGAAAATAATTATAGATCGTTTCCTAGTCTGAAAATGTTGCGTACGTCCTAATTAAGCTGTTAATCCTCTGGTAAATAAGTCACTCCTGGAAAGCGTGAACCAGTGAGCAAGCATGGCTGGGGAGCTGTGAGAGAGGTCATGGACCACCTCTGTGCTGTACCCAGGAGAGACGGATCGCGTGACCTGGTTCCTTCGTTTATTTAACATCAGTATAACAAGTAAATCTCATTCGATCTCAGATAGGGGTTAGATAGGGCAGTGATAAAGTTATCAAGAGCTAACAGTGAGTTAATTTCAGGGTTTCCTTCAGAACCCACTTGACTGGGAGAGTGATGACTGCGAGACATTGACTGCCGTTTGAGACTGCCGTTGATGATTGAGGATTGGCGATTGTCGCCGTTGGACCAATCAGTGTAGGCCTGTCACTGTTTAGCGGGGTAGCAAAGAAGCTCTTGAGTGAACCTAGCCGTCTGGGTGCCCAGCTAACGACCGGACGATCGTTGGGGTCATCAGCTCTCCTCTACCTAGGCTCACAATACCACATATCTCAAGCAGCTTAGTGAAACCCTTTTGCTAACGGGAAGCTAAAGCTTCTCTCAACTGTACAAGGTCTGATTGGCTCACTCCCTTCCGCTTCATGGATGTACTGGGGGTAAAGTGAAGCTAGCTGAGTGATACAGGGTCGCACACTGGGTGCCAAGAGTCAGTGGAGCTTAGAGGTAAACTTTCCAAGGTGGAGAAAGGCTGATTTGGGCCTTAAACTACTGGTGCCTGTTGGTTGTGCCTTAAACGACAACGGAGTGCAGGTGGAATCTGTGTGTGTGTTAGGTTAGGAAGCATGGTTCACGGGTATTGGTGGACTCAGTAACTTCTTAATAATAGTGACAATATTTTTGTGTGTAGTTAATACTATTTTCTCAGTTCCTAATGTATGCTGTGTGCATTTAATATTTCCTTATAATGTCAATCTCAAGTATAACCTTTGTTCCCCAGAGTAGTGTTTAAGTTAGGTTAGGAGGTGTGTATCTGTTGGGGTAATATAATTTTGTTAAGCGCCCTGAAGGCCTATTCAGGGTGGGGTTAATAAGTTCTGATTTTTATACCATTTTCTCAGTGCTGGATATAATTTTGGTGAGTGCCCTTAAGGCCTATTCATTGTAGAGTTATTAATTTCTTATTTTTTTAATACCATTTTCTCAGTGATTGACATTTTGTTGAAAGCCCTTATGGCCTGGTTCATGTGTGCAAGCAACATTTCTTAATACTTTAAACTTATTGTCCTCTAATGAGGCATTGCCTGAGTTTCTAATAATTTCAACATCATGTATAACTTTTATTCCCCAGAGTAGTATTTTAAGTTCAGGTTAAGAAGTGCGCATATTGGTGTACCATTATTTGATTGTGTTTGTAGTGTTGGAGGGAATATAAGTGTAAATTTTACAGTGTGTCTCATTCATCCCAGTCACAGACGCTATCCTTCCACGGGTCACGGACAATTCATTTTGTTTAGTAAATTTAAGTGCTCTTGTGCTGGTTCGGGATTTCTCTGTGTGTTTGTTTGTGTGTTTGTGGGTTTGTGTGTCCACACGAGAATCTCGGCAACTACTTTACCGACTCTGTAGTGATGATGGATGGTGTTATATGTAGTGATGATGGATGGTGTTATATGTAGTGATGATGGATGATGTTATATGTAGTGATGATGGATGTTGTTATATGTAGTGATGATGGTGGTGTTATATGTAGTGATGATGGA